GAGCCCACCAACACCAAACTAATTTTTATACATCAAATTATTTTTAAAATAGCCCAAACAAGCAGATTTTTAGCTGTTTAGAGCCTGCCTTACACATTCTGTGAAACCTTACCTAGCATCTGTTGGCCGTTGATAAGATAGAGCTTTGTGGTTTTAAGACACTGAGCTGCTACTGCCCTTCAAAGTTCTCTGACATAGAGATACTCCACCATGCTGTGAAGTGACATCACTTAGTCCTAAGCCCTCATTCTAATGCATCTCTCCCTTGGGAGTTCCTTCGCCCTCCTCCCCTTCTGCATGGCGACCTACTCACCGTATGCCTCTGGATGCCCTCACATGCAACCCTGAACAAAGCACTACTCATTAAAGCTTGTTGTGTGTTAACTGCCTCTGTGGTCCTGTCTTTTTCCCAGATCAACCTCAAATCCCTTGAACAAACACCCCCTACACAGTAGTACCTTGGCACAACTAAAATTTTATGAAAGCCAGTGTATGAACTTCCAGAACTAAAGATCACCCCACATTGCCTTACCCCTGGAGTGGACCCTTCTACTCTGCCTTTCTTCCTCCATCTTTTGGATACCAAATAGTTCTGTATATTTTTTAAATGTATATATTCATAAAGAGCTTGTGTATGATATAGATTTGCCTGGTTTCACATATATTTGTGCCTTGTATTCATGTGTTGTACTAGGAAAAATTATGAAGCTCTTTTAGATTGCAAAGATCACAGACATTCTTAGGTTTTTAATAAAAGTAACTATAATGCCTAAAGTGCATTGAGCACTTACTGTGTGTCGGGCAACGTGCTAAGCTCTTTACATGCATTGTTTTATGTAATCATCACCACAACCAATGAGGTGTTTTTATTCACATGCAGAAAGTGGGCTCAGAGAGATTAATTGCCTCACTTAGAGTCACACTGACGATCGCAGAGCTCAGATATGAACCCAGTTTCTCAGATGTGTTCGCCTGTGATCCGCTCTTACCATTACTCCTCAGTAAATGAGAAACTTTTCTACAAGTACACATGGAGAAGTAAGCAAACAGCCTCAGCAGGCAAAGAGGAAAAGGGAAGATGATTCATCAACATTCAGGACTCAGCAGCATTGTTGATCGTTCTATAGCAGCTGTACAGGCCTAACACAGTTCCACTGGGGAACCATCCAAGTGGCAACATCATCTCTGCCTCAGCCGCCTCTTAACTTTTTTCGCCTTCCTTTCTCCTCTTTTTTCTCATGGCTTCTACTGCTTCATGGCCCTTTCTCCTGTGTGTTTGTACTTCTCTGTTTCTATGTCGCTCTCTGGCCTCTAGGTTCTCTCTGAATGTCTCCCAGTTACACTTCCCTAGGTAGAGTGGATGGTTGGGTTGTCTCGCCCAATGCATTAGTGAGAATTGCACACCAGGGCACCTCGCCTTGGAGGCTCATGGCTGGCTCACAGCTCTCTGCCTTTGAATTGGGCTCCAGGCCCTGGTTCATTCAGCTGGGCCAGCATCACATCCTATAAACTATGGAAATTTTATGTAAGATCCCATAGAAGGAGGCCATAAGTGGGACTTGAACTTGTAGGCTTCAGTGAAATAGGGCAATGAAAGCCCAAAGTTTTCCTAAGATCTGTCTGGCAAAATCATGTAATTTTCAAATACTTTTAATGTGTCTAATATGAAAATTTGAAGATTATATGTTTAAAACTTTAGCAAATAGAAGTATTTGCTAAGAGTAGTTCTAGCAATAAATATGCAAGATATGAAATCTGTACATACTAGGGAAATTCCAGCGTACTTCTTCAGTGTGCTTGATTAGATCAGGACATTAAACTTAAATTGTTAGAAACAACAATAGAGTTGTATACAACATTCAATTAGTTTTCTTAGTCTTCTATTTCATAAACATTTAGTGAGTATGTAAGCAGGCAGTATCTTATGTTTCCGTACATTATCAATGAGATTATAAGTGAGACACAGTCCTATATACTTCCCTTTCAATCCTTTAGAATCTTAACTTTTCATAGTGTGGCAGATACTCAATAAATGACTGGCCTAATTAATCAGCCCCGATGCCAATTGAGAAGAAAGTACAAATCAAAGAATCTTTTCTTATAAGCATGGAGTCAAGGGGAAGTAATACTATTTCTTTAATGCCTTATACCCAATTTAATATTTTCTGGGTTAAAATAATGGGTTGCAATTATGAAATTTTGGGTCCTTTCTTTCCTTTCACACAGTGTGTCAGCCGTACCTTTCACCGGAGCAAACAGACGTATTCAGGAAAAAAACATCTTTGGCTTGCTTTCGGTTTATCTTTTTTTGTGAGGGTTTCACTACTGCATTTGAAATTTGGACCCATTTTACTTCTACATGGAATGTCAGGCGGTAGAACCCTAATTAAGTTGATGAAAGACTACAAAAGAAACCTAAGGAGCCTGTGAAGAGGGGGGACCAATTCTATCCTTGTTAGTAGTTAAATTTTAGAAGTGACTTCCTTGTCCTACCAGCTCATGAGAACTGGGTCTAGAGAACTTAAATTACTTCATCCCCATCGCCACTCAGCTGGGTAATGCCTTAATACTACAAAATTAAAAGCTGGTAGCCTTTTGATGTTTTCTAATATTTGTGTAAGTCGTAAATCTAAGTTAACAAGTTGATTTTATTTGTGACTTTTAAATTGAAGCTCATAGTTAGTCTATGCATGCATACACGCGCATGCACACAATGTCTTATAGTTAACTTTAATGCGCTAAATCATTTCCAGAGGTGATCAGCTGGTGGAATTGGTTAACAATATGACTGTTCCTCTTTACAATTGCTGGATAAACCCCTCCCAATGCTTCATTCAGGGCATTTTGACCACATCATTTTCTTCTTTTCTAACTGTAACTCATAGAAATCCCATGGGATCAGGAACCCATTTTGAGAAATATGTCAGCAACTTTTGAAATGTAGGAAACTAACCAATTAGTGTCAGCTTTTCCCTTGAGGGAATAAAATAGGAAAAGTTAATATATGCTACAGAGGTTACTTTAGGAGATCCTCTACTAGTGGTACATTGTATAAATGATCATTTTTGACAAAGCTGAAACAAATCATAACTTTTTTTTTCTGTTTTGATGTTCAGTATATTCCAAAAGTTTTTGAATTTATAAAGTATCTTTGGAAATTTACAAGAATGAAGAATTTACTAAATGTAGTACATTTAATGGGAAAACCAAATAAAACTCAAATATAATCTCTAGGTGTTCTATAGATTTTTTTATATACCTAGTCTTTCAGAGGCTCATTGGTTTCTATTTTTCTGTGATGTGAATTTAATTAGTTTTAATGTAGATTTAAAATTTAATAAACATGTGATTACCTGCCATCTGTCAAGCAATATGCAAGGTGCAAAAACACACACCATGCTCATGTATTCCTTAGATACATCCTGTAAGAAATTATCCCAAATTTTCAGATAAGAATCACAAAAGCTATGACTCATCCTTAAGTTTGTGACTAATCAGTGGCATTCTAGGGATTATAAATCAAGTCATGTGACCCTCAAATCTATTTTACTTCTCAACAAAATTAATTTATAAGAAAAAAATCTTAAAAATACTACCATATACACATTCTTTTGATTGTTGGAAGATCAATAATCTGATTCAGTAAAGGAAGATTTTGTTGCTGACTCGTTAAAGGAAGGTGATGCAATGTGTTGGTTAATGCCGTGGGCTTTGGAGTCAGGTCAGCTTGGAGATGAACCCTGGCACCTTGTCTATGGGAAAATGTGATGACTTTGACTAAAGTTGTTTTTTTAACTTCCAAGCCTCAGTTTCTTCATTTCCCTAACAATGGTAATAAAACATATTTCATAGGGTTGTAGCAGGAGTTGGTTACAATACTAAAGTCACAGTATTTAGCAGAGTACTCAGCAGAGAATACTGATTCTTGGTAACTGTTGATAATAATAGTGGTGAGTTAGGAAGGTAATTTACAAATTGGTTAAAGATGCTGATTGTTTTGTTCAGGAACGTATGAAAACTTTGTTATTAATAAAATGATACTGATCTCAATGAAGATTTTGAGTGGTAAATGGCCCATAAATAATATCTATAACTTTATGTGATGCTTTAAGATACTCTGAAATATGGAGCCAGATTGGAACATTTTCCAATTATGTCCATATTTTGATTACTGTTGATAATAAATTGGGGGTGGTGGCATGAATAAGTTCTAGACAGTTGAAGCATCCCAACCCTTTTAAAAAATGTGTACAAAAATAATTATGTGTTCTTTGAGTCATTGAAAAAAATTTATACAACTAATTTATGGCAGAGGGGTTTGGCTTTTAAAACCATTATTGGTGCATGGACCCTCAATTAGGAATATACTGGATCAATCTTCAGTTACATACATATACACACATATGTATCCAATTAAAGATTGATCACGTTAAAATAAACAAGTTTTTTCAAAATCTAGGCATGATCACAGTTTTATTTTTTATTTCTTGTAAATATTTTAAAATACTTCTCCATATAGTCTTGGTCAAGAAACATCAAAGTGATTTAAAGGGATAACCTGAATATTTATCTGTAAGCTGTGAGGTCAACAAAGTAAGAAGAACTTTGTGCAAAAATACGAATTTTAAAGATAGTCTTTGCAGAATTAATCTGTTATGAAAATGAACTAGATAAATGTTGACATGGTTCATACTTTTAAGATAAGCTAAATTCCTGTTGTTGGGAACTGACTTTTGAAAATGGTATTTGTATTAAATAGGATTAAACGAACTCAAAAAGAAAACTTTCCATTTGTAAACATAAAAGGGTAGTGTGTATGTGTACGAGCATGTTTATATGAGCATGTGTGTTCTGGTTTATATAATCATAACCCTTTTACTTAGTCATCCTTTTAACTAATGAATTTTAATGTTTCAGCCTTTGCTCTTCCATATATTACCTATTTTGTAGGAAAAACATCCCCATTCAAATTATAATCCTGTTTTTATTTTATTTCTCAGATGATGAAACATGCTTGGAATAATTATAAAGGTTATGCCTGGGGATTAAATGAACTGAAACCTATATCAAAAGGAGGCCATTCAAGCAGTTTATTTGGTGAGTAGATGTGCTTTGGTTTCTTAGTGACTTAGTAACTTCTCAGTAACTTAGTAACTTCTCCCCAATTGCTTCAGCTTATGGATGGTGAAGAAGTCTGTGTAATATGGCCCAGGCCATTTGGTTAGGAAACTTGCACACCTGATGGAATTAGGTAAGGAGTGTGCATAGTGTGTCCTTCGGTTAGAGTAGTGGCTGCGTGTTCGAATGACCTGCGTAACTTTAAAGAGTACTGATTCCTGGAGCATACTTATAAAGATTCTCACTTAATGTTTATAGGGTGCAGTATCAGGATTTTTGGCCTGTGGGGTGATTCCCACCATAGAAGCACTTGGTGGGCTGCACTAACTGCTTCCTGTTAGGTAAAAGCTGTGCCTTTATACATAAGCTGAGCAAGGCTGCCAGCCGTGGTGATCTTCAGTGTATCTCAATTTTGGCTGTAGGTTTCTCCTGTTTGTACCATGGAAGAGAAAGTGAGGATGGATTAGGTTAATTGAACTTCCATTTATCCACTTTTGCACGCTTTATTGTATTTGGTTCCTGCAGCAGCTCTCTGTGACTGGTACTGTGGGTGTTAATAACATTCCATTGTGGAAGTAAGAAAGCTAAGTAACACAAGGGTTTCATGGATTCTTTCGGTCACAGAGCTGCCCAGTATCCTCCTACTGCACTTGATTTCTTTCTAATCCTTAAAATTTGTCTGTAAGTAACAGGATGAAGGGAATACAGTGTTACTCAGGAACTTCTGAATTCAACAATAGAACACTTTCTATACTTTAACTGAAAATGTTAAATAATAGCAATTCATATAATAGTTTCAGCTCACATTTATTGAGCACTTACTGTGTGCCAAGTGCCATTCCTGCATTATCTCATTTAGCCTCATTAAAATATAATTTTATAGGTGAGAAAAATGAGGCCCAGAGATTAGTTTTCCCAGAGATAGCCACCTACTAACTGGCAGAGCTGGGACTTGAACCCTGGGGTGGCTAACATTAGAGTCCATGCTCCTAATTCTGACATGTTGCTTTTCCATTTATTTAGAACCTTCCATGTGTTTGGCTTTACTTGTAGCACTGGTGATAATGAAAATAATACAAGTCTTTGCACAGGTCTTTACACAAGTATTTGCCTAGTACACAACATATAAAATGTAAATAGTGAATTATCAATGCACCAGGTGGTTCAATATGTACTTCCATGAAGTTCTGAGGAAGCAGTAGGACCTCAGGTTGGGAGAAGGGCATTGCAGGGTTTGCAAGAACAGGTAGAAAGAGCTGGGAAAAGTAGGAGAAAAGAGACTGTTGGTCTATCAGAGTGACACAGTTTTGAGATGAATAGAGCCTGTACCTGAAGTAGAGGCAGTAGAAGTAATTCCAGACACTTCTAAAGTAGTGTTTTAGGATCCAGCTACCAGTTAACATGGGTAAGGGAGAGGTATGAATTGAAGAGAGAAACTCTGAAACTTCATGCAGAGCCAGAGGTCTTTATTTTTTCATTGTTTATTATAACATTTTTTGAAAAAATTACAACTCCATTTTGCTTTTATCTGTATAAAAGTCGTTCGTACCCTTAAGAAATCAGTTAATGTGTTAAATTGCCGTAATCTTTATCAGAGGGATTGTTTGGTTTTCTGTTAAAACATTTACAATTTTAAAATTTGTTATTGAACATTAAAAATATGCTAGGTCTCTTAGGCCTGACTTTTGTTTTTTGGTTTTCATTGGCTTTTTCAGTAAAAAAAAAGCTTTTCATAATCAAGATAAGAACTTGCTCTTAGAAAAAGAGCTACAGGTATTAGCATAAGGAAATGAAATATTAATAATTCAAATGGTATTTAATCTCATTCCATCTTCAAATTAAAATAAGATGCATAATGATTTTCTTATTATAGAAATACCAATATAGGGGAACTTGTTACAAAGGCATACAAAGTTTTCATTTTTACAGATGAGAAAAACTTTTAACTGACTTCTTTAGCCCGCTTCTCAGTCAGATTTCTTATCTCTGTAATATGTAGTCTCGTATAGTCACTCAGCAAACCAGGCAGAAGTTAGGAAAATGTGAGTTCTTTACCACCTGACTTCTTAGGAAATAGTGTTTCGTTTGAGATAAGTGATTTTGAGTTTTAACCCTAAAAACAACCTTTTTGGGGAAAGTATTAGGCATTATGAATCTTTTCCCAGTTCTGAGCCATTGGGGAGCTCTTCAGGTCTGCTTGCTTCTCATGGTTGTTTCTCATCAGTTATGTTGAACCTTCCATCTTTTTCATAGACAAAGACTGCTTCCTTCCTAAACAACTTTAATGAATATAAAAAAGCATCTTAAATATTCGTGATCTCCCAATTCCATCTTAAACAGGAAACTAGAACTATTTATTTCAATATTTCAGTGGTAAAAAGATTTCAAGTAAAACTGCACCTCAAAGAGAGGTATTTTGTGCCCGACCAATTATTCTCATGTAAAGCTACAATACAAGAAATAAAAATATTAACTTAAGGCTGTTAATAACCTAGAAATGAAATGTCAATGAAAATATGAAGCTGATATCATATTTCAAAATGCCCACTTTAAAATATTCCCTCCAGTGTCTCTCTGAATCCATAGTTCTAGCTTCGAAAAAGTTAAAGGAAATTGGATTACAGTAAAACATGGCACAAAACGCAAGTGTCTTCAGGTTTCTTTCTCCTTATCATTAGATAAGGTTTACAATTTTTATCTTTTTGAAAATCAAGTGTTTTAATATCCTGTTATTTATAGTTTTCTAATAACTTCTCAACTTGGCATTTGAAAGGCATGTGCCAGTGAAGTAATTTTCATTTATATTTATAGATTCGGTCTTGGATCGTCCAGAATGTTAATTATGTATAGGAAGTGTAGTGCCCAGTCTTTCGGCAGTCATTCATTGTGCACCTGAGTGTAGGATCGGCTGCCTGCCACTTGCACAGCCAATAACAAGGATGAAGTTCAGTGAAAGGAAAATGACTTTTATTTCCAAAACTAGAGGTGGCTGGCTTACTCCTCTAGAAACTGCTTCAAACTTGAGGCTGGGAAGAGGATCTTAAAAATGGAACTTGGACTGGGAGGCATATGGGAAGGGTGCCTGAGTGTAAGGTCTGCGTGTCTTGTTCTGGTGGCTTTCTCTAGCTATAGTCCACCTGGAGTGCAGGCTGACATTGTATCAACAATGGCTGGGTTGCTGACTAACTGCCTTGAGGTAATCTCTGAAATTTTGCAACTGGGTCTCCATCCTTGATCTGTCACAAGATTAGCCCCTGGAACTTCTAAGTAAGCACATAATTAGATCCGAGTATACAATTACGTAAATGTTCATGGGGTAAAAGAATGCATAGTGGGAAAGGGAAGGGAATGAAGTTTCAAAGCATGTTTCAGGGGCATATTTTAAGACTAAGGAAAAAGATTTCTACAGTTTGCTTCAAGGTTACATCTTGAGACTGGAAGAAAGGATGAAGAAAAACATTTTAAAATGCGTTGTGAAGCTGAACTACTCAATTACAATTGGGCATCATTGTCACAATTCCACAGGACACCATAAGGAATCTGGAGATAAGTAAGACGTGACTTGTTTGTTCTGAGTTTATAGGCTGAGTGCATCCCTCATGCCTCTAATGCCAGTATTTTGGAAGGCCAAGGTGGGAGGATTGCTTGAGGCCAGGAGTTTGAGACCAGCCTCAGCAACATACCAAGGCTCATCTCTACAAAAAAATTTTTTTAATTAGCCAGGTATGGTGGCACACACGTATAATCCCAGCTACTCAGGAGGCTGAGGCAGGAGAATCACTTGTGCCTAGAAGTCTGGGGCTGCAATGAGCTATGATTGCACCACTGTACTCCACCCTGGGGGACAGAGCAAGACCCTGTCTCAAAAGAAGAAAAAAGTTTATAGACTAAAAGATGCACATGTGTAATTTTAATACAAGATAGAAGGTGATGAATGCCAGGGCAACGTGAAGTCTCCATGTCATTGGAATTCAGAGGAAGTAAACCACAGAGGTCAGGACTTGTAGAGGATGGAGGGCAGTTAGCATCAGTCAGAGTTCATACGGGGGTGAAATTTCGTTTTAGAGTAATGTCTTCTTAGAACTATCACTAAACAATTTTAGATCTAATTATATTTAGAGTTTTGCACAGGTGCACTTTGATTACATTAGTCTTAATAAGTCTGTTGCTCCTTGGTTTTAGGCCTATTCTTTTCTTGCTAGAGAATGCAATCACAGGCCAGGGGTGCAGTGGCTCACACCTGTAATCCCAGCACTTTGGGAGGCCTAGGCGGGTGGATCACAAGGTCGAGAGATTGAGACCATCCTGGCCAACATGGTGAAACCCTGTCTCTACTAAAAACACAAAAATTAGCCCGTCATGGTAGCATGCGCCTATAATCCCAGCTACTCAGGAGGCTAAGGTAGGAGAATCACTTGAGCCCGGGAGATGAAGGTTGCAGTGAGCTGAGATTGCGCCGCTGCACTCCAGCCTGGGCAACACAGTGAGACTCCATCTCCAAAAAAAAAAAGGAAAGAAAAGAGAGAGAATGCAATCACAAATGAAATTTCTAAGAGAAATTTCTGAGACATTTATTTTTTGTAACTCAGAAGAAACTTTAAAGATTAGTGTATTAGTCAATAGCCTGTGATAATTTTTGGTTTGGTGCCGTTTTATACTTTCATTGAAAGAATTTTAGACTATGTTTAATATTATTGCTTATTAATAAATCCAGTATTACCCTCTCCCTGTCTTAGGTGTGGTCAATTTACATATATTTTATCTAGCCAAAGTATTTTATCAAATATTTTTCTGCTATTTTCAGGTAATATCAAAGGAGCAACTATAGTAGATGCCCTGGATACACTTTTTATTATGGAAATGAAAAATGAATTTGAAGAAGCAAAATCATGGGTTGAAGAAAATTTAGATTTTAATGTGGTAAGTTAAATAAGAGTTGCTAATTCAGTCCTTAAATGTCAATTAACATGGATAAATTCTGTAGTGGGCCCTATTATTGTATTATTGTATTGTAATGTACTCTAACAAAAATAATGCAACTTTAGATAGTACAAATATTATTATCTTACACTGTGTTCTTAAATTGTCCTCACTTACTACACAAATTTGTGTCTTGTTTTTTGGCAAAGTAAGGGTAAGAGAAAATAAATTAGTATTTATTGAGACCTACATGTGCCTAGTATTCTTGTTCAGTCCCACCACAATGCTATGAGATGGACATTAATTTCACACCTTTGTATATTAAACATCTGCACCTCAGAGGCTTACTCCAGACTGCACAGCTGGTTGTGTGTCAAGAGCTATGATTCTGATGTAGGTCCGTGGGGCTCCAGTGCTTATGCTTTTACACGGTGTCATGGTGTCTCCAGCAGCAGCAGCAGCGTTCATTTTCCCGTAAAGAAAGCTTCAAATTTTGTGGATCTTATACACCTCTCAGTAAAAACAAATTGATTATATATGTGGTATATGTTCTTAAATTTTGTGTGCCATCGTTCTCAGCAAATATTTCAAGGCCCATTGTATACTGAGGGAAAGAGTCAGAATTAAGGATAGTGAATACTACTAATACTTCTTGATAATTTCAGATGGGGAGGACTACATCTTATCAGCTCTGATTTTGATAGTCGTTGTTTTACTTTATAATGATATTGACAACTTATTCTAAGAAAAGAAAACATGTAGGCCATGGAATTTTTTAGTCATTCACTTAAGTGTGCATTATCGGTATTTCTAATCTGAGACCACTTTGCAGAAATTCTCGTAAGTCTCTTGGCTGTTGGGTAAGCATTTGATAGTATCTGTAAATCCCAGTCACCATGCACAAGTAACATTCTGTATATTGAAAGTGGACAAAGAGAATTTCTCGCTGTTGCCTCTGCTTTGTGGCACTCTTGCTCTCAGAGACCAAATGAGGACACCAGTGTTAGGCAGAATATTAAGGATCAGTAAAGCTAAGTATTTCCCCCATCTATTTCAATTAAAAACTTATATAAATTAAAAGTTTAATATTTTGTTTCTACTCCCCTAATTAATTGCTATATATACCTCATTTGGGGCACCTTAAAGACAGGCAGATGAGTCTGTGTTTAATTTGCCTAATAATTGAATCTAGAATATAAAGGAGACCGTATTCCAATCAATATTAAGGAACCTTGGGGATCAATGTGTTAAACCCTTCTATTTTAAACATGAGAGAACCGGCATGAGGAGCTAGTGATTTGCTCAAGGTTATGGAGCTATTTGATTAGAGTGACCTGTGGTAGTGCTGATATTGATAGAGCTAAATATGAAAAATTAAAGCACTGGAAAAAAACTTTCATTTCGGAGGCTTGCTTTCTTAATAATACTTCTGTGGGCCAGGCGTGGTGGCTCACACCTGTAATCCCAGCACTTTGGGAGGCCAAGGCAGGCAGATCACGAGGTCAGGAGTTTGAGACCAGCCTGGCCAACAGAGTGAAACCCCATCTGTACTAAAAATACAAAAATTAGCCGGGCATGGTGATGTGTGCCTGTAATTCCAGCTACTCAGGAGGCTGAGGCAGGAGGATCACTTGAACTCAGGAGGCAGATGTTGCAGTGAGCCGTGATTGCACCATTGCACTGCAGCCTGGGCAGTAGAGCAAAACGCCATCTCCAAAAAAAAAAAAAAAAAATTTCTTTGGTTCTACCTTCTTATTAAAATCAGCTACCTACCTTCAAAAACCTGTAGGCTTATCTTTAGCTATATATGAGACCTATTGATATCTCTATTTTCAAGAAAGGGTAAGGGAATAATAACTACATTCCTCTAAAACACTAATGATGGAAAATTGGAAAGCAAACTTTAATAACACTTGACTTATGAATAGTGTCCAAGTTTCTTACTGAATCTTGGACTTGTCCATCTGATAATTGTAGCATTGTTGCCCCAAACCTCCTCAAATATCATAGCAGTTTTTTTCTTTTCACAACCTGTGCGACCTGTGGTAGTCTGAGGAGCCCTGGACTTGGGGCCAGGGGTTGGGGTTGGTGGAGGATGAGGAGCAGTTCTATTTAAAATGAATAAGTACAAAGGTAACAGACGAGATGTTACTATAACAGAAGGCAGGTGGCTGCCCTCAGACCACCACAGGATGTCTTCAATGTGTTCCATGGGTCCTGGGGACCTGGGAGAAGGAAAGATGAATTTAATAGGGGATATCAGACTGTGTAGAAGAGAAGAAGAATTTACTGGGCTTCCTTACTTGTAAGATGAAGGGATTCAACTAACACTGAGTTATTGCTAAGATACTGAACTTTGAAGTTTTCTTTGTTTATTTAAATTTTTATTTTATTTTTTAATAAAATTTCACTCAATTAGTATGCAGACTTTTGCATATATATTTTAGGCCTGTTAATGATAGTTTTGGGTTATACCTTTCAAGATATAATTTTAAAATATGTACAACTATTATGTATTTATAAAAATTAAATATATTTCAAAAAATTACAGCCACATTTCTCAAATGTGTTTATTACACTATTTTCTTAATATAAGAGGTCTTGAAAAATATTTGTTGCAGGTCTCTCTTTGGGTATTACCATGTTTTCCTTTTAAAAAATATGTTGTCAACAACAAACAATGTTTCCCATATTAAAAATAGTAACATATAAATTCAGGAGAGGTATATTGATTTACTTTTCTAATCATTGTGTTGTGAAGTTTTTCAGCTTACTGTATTCCAGTTGGTTTTAATATTTCACATAAGAATTTGTCTTATATTCACCCATTCTATCCAGAAATCCAAATGATTATTTTTAAAATTACAGGATTTTTCTTCAAAAAAATTGAGAAATTTTTCTCATTTATATGGAGAAAGGAGAAATTGAAAAAGCTTTACCAAAAAAAAGAAAAATTATACTAAATAACATGTAGTATAATTCTAGCTTATAAATATTGTTACTTACATTTTAGTTAAAACTTTTTCCTGATAAGGTATTCTATTTGACAGTGTAAGGGTATTATTAAAAAAGTTGGCCAGGCGTAGTGACACACGTCTGTAATCCCAGCCCTTTGGGAGGCCAAGACGGGCGGATCACGAGGAGATCAGGAGATTGAGACCATCCTGGCTAACACAGTGAAACCCCATCTCTACTGAAAATACAAAAAATTTCCCAGGCATGGTGACACGTGCCTACAATCCCACCTACTCGGGAGGCTGAGGCAGGAGAATAGCTTGAACCTGGGAGGCAGGGGTTGCAGTGAGCCGAGATTGCACCACTGCACTCCAGCCTGGGCGACACAGAGAGACTCAGACTCAAAAAAAAAAGAAAAGAAAAGTTAATGCATCTAAATTCATTGCAAAGGGAAAATAAAAGCAAAACAAACACTATTGTTGAGAGTTGGCTTATCCTGTGGTGCTCCTAAGTATAAACAAATTTTATACTCAAGAATAAATTTGTTAATGTGAAATATCCAATTTATATCACTGAAAAGTGTAAAGTTTTCTATTGTTTTATACTGTAATTAACTAAAACTCATTTTCTTTTCATTAGGGCATAGGAAGTTGATTCATTTTGCATACTTGGTAGTACAAAGTTCAAATGACTTTAATAGCTGGCTTAAAATAAGTCACTGGGATAATATGTTCTGGGGAGTAAGGAGCAAGGACTTCACAGAAGGAGCTTGTATTCAGTTCAAGTATCTGTAGAAGCACATAGATATTGGGAGAAAATCCTAAGTATTGACTCCATGAATAAGTTTTCTAATTTTAGCTCAAAGTAATCTTAGGACAAAGAATCTGAAACTGATTCTTGGTTGGTCACTCTTCATTCACTCATGTATTATTTACTAAGTATCTTCTAAGGATCAAGTATTTACTCTTATGGGCATTTAGTCTAGCAGGAAAAGTAGTCAGAGAACCCTAGCTAGTACCAGGCTATCTCGGTAGGAAAGAAATGAAAGAGGAAACTACTATTTGGCCAGGCGTGGTGGCTCACACCTGTAATCCCAACACTTTGGGAGGCCCAGGCTGGTGAATTTCTTGAGCCCAGGAGTTCAAGACCAGCCTGGGCAACATAGTAAGACCTCTCCCACCCCATATCTATTAAAAAAAAAAAAAAAAAACAACCCCAGCCTGGGCAACAGAGTGAGACTCTGTCTCAAAAAAAAAAAAAATTAGTAGTTTGTGATACATACCAAGTATTATGTTTAATCTTTGTGACAAGCATACAGAGTAGTAACTGATATTTTTCCCTATACTTATAGATGAATAGGTGGTTAATTAGTCTGTCCCAAATTATGCAGCAAGATCTCAGGTTTGATGAACACAGTCTGCCTAACTCAGTGACCTTGTGTTTTTTTAATTGGAGAAGAAATGCAAAGAATTGAGAAATATATAGACAGCCAGAGAATTTGAGTCCTCTGAGGTTAGCCATGTCATCATGGCTTAATATTATTACAGTATTAATTAGAGTATTAATATTACAGTATTAATTAGAGTTTATTGTTCGATAGTGATTTGATAAATGTTTGTTAAATGAATGAGAAGTTAAGCTATCTTGTCCTACTTCCTGACAGCCTATGCTATACTCAGCTGGAAGAAGAGCTCAGGTGGAAGGGTAGCTGTATTGTGTCATCTGTTTATATAGTTACAGATGATCTGGAGTTCAAGTCAGTTGGTCTACCTGTTATTACCTAACCTATTTCCAGAACAGATTTGTAGTCGCCCCTGACAACAGGAGGATCAGTTACGTAAGAACAAATGATCAAGGGTTTCCTATTTGGGTATTTCTGATTTCAATTGTGTTCTTTTACTGGCACTTAAAACAATGTTGGTTACCTACAACCTCACATGAGAAATATTGAAAACTATCTTCTGTAATGAATTTTATAGAATATGTAGAATTTTTCTCCAGATAACAATTTCTTATATTAACTCTCTGTAAAAGCTAAAGCTGTG